GCCTTAAAGTATTTGCAGAAGGAACCAGAGATTTGTTCTTGGGGCCTTAAAGGCAGAAGTAGGAGCACTGGGCAGAAGTGGTAGAAAGGCCAAGTTAAGATCAATGAAAGGAAAGATTTCCTAACAGAGCTAAGCCAACATGGGAGGTAATGGCTTCAGTGCTGGAGGACCACTTGTCAGGGATGTTATTATGCTGTAGAGGGGATTCCTGTTCAGGGATGATTGGAGTAAATGACCTCTGAGGTCAGTCTGTGCTGAAACCCTAATACTAGAGCAAGGCTGACCACTAACACAGTAGGACTTGTACAGCTCTCTGGGCAAGGGGGGGAGGGGTAACCTTCTCACCAGTGGGAAGATTCCCACTACCAGCCCAAGAGATGGGCAGCCCACAGTGCAGGCTGAGATGTAAATGAAACTCTTAAGAAAAGGGGAATAGTGCAGGTCAGGGAAGAGAACAGGCAAGTCTGGGAGAAACCCTACTCACCATAAAGGCCTTTTTTTTTTTCCCTTAGAGGAACTAGATTAAAATTAAAAAGAAAAACTACACCCACATTATTTGAAAGAAAAAAAAAGGCAGGCTGAGTCAATAGCTGGTCCCCGTGTTTGGGCACCCATATTTTGTTATTATCACTACTCCCATTTGGGTAGACTAAATTTCAGAATCCCAATATGGGGGCCCTTCTCAGAGCTTTCCCATTATCATCTTCTCTTTGCTCCCCAGAGGTTGCTGTGGGAAAGGAGAGATTTTCCACATATACTACCCTAACCCAGCCACCTGGTGCTGTTTAACTCCAAGGGGCCCCAGACTTCCTGCCCGGGGTTCTGGGAGGCAGGAATGGAGCATTGCTGAGGGGGGAGGGGAGCTCCAGAAGAAGGGAAGGGCTACAGTTCCCAAACCACTGCCTCTCTTCCCCCCCACAGCCAAGCTTCTTACCCTCCAAGACAAAGGGAGCCCCAGCCCCATTTGGGGGAGCCCCAAGCTCCTCCCAACTTCTGTTCTTAGAAGGGGGCAGCAAGAGAGCTCCCAGAGGAGGGGGAGTGGAAAGCGGAACATTTCCCAACCAGGCTCCAAGAACTTTATAGTTTCCTCCCAATAGTTTCCCCTGTTCCAACCTTCTATTAAAACAGAAACATGAGCGAAGAAAATAGGTACATGGGGGGAGGGGGGGACTTCTCAGAGGTTTCCCCCCACCTGCACCATATGTAATTGCCAACCCTTTCCTCTCATGCTCAAACCTCTTTCCAGCAATGGCCAGCAGCCAGAAAACAAAGTCACAAATCAAGATAAAAATCGATGGGGAATGAGAAACATGGGGTGGGAAGAGGGTGGAGGGGTGGGAGAGGTTTGAAAGACACAAATTGGGGGAGAAGAGGAAGCTATACAGAGTGGGAGAGAGGGAGACACATGGAATAGGAAGGGAGAAAAGAGGGAGATACATTATGAGCCGGAGAAACAGAAATCAAATAGAGGTCTGGCTCTGCTGCCCTGGTATTGCTTAATGCGGAGAGGCAATCAGGTTGACATCTGGCATTCATTTGGGAAGAGGTAAGAGTGAAGGGGACTAGAGAGAAAGTTGGAAAACGGATTCCTGCTTCATGTCAAAGTGTTCCTTGGCCAAGAAAACATCCCTGACCCCTGGATGTCTTGGGTAAGAGCAAGCTGTCCATAGATGTCAGGTAAATAATCCATCCCCACCCGCGCCAACCCAGAGTTGCTTGACTCACAGGTTCCACCAAATCTCACATCTAGGAGGAGTCACAAAGAGGGCCGAATATTCTATTCACAGGCAAAGATGAATTACAGAGGTGTCTCCTGCAACTAAGACTTCCTGCCAAGGACCCTTCAAAGGGCTATTCTACCTGGACTCTGGGAGCCCCATAGAAAGGTGGAAAGTCACAGGAAGTGGGGACAAAAACAAGTCAGTTGTGCAGAGCCATTCCATACTCCCCCCTCCCCTCTTCACACACGGATCTCATCCTCTTCCTCGTCCATAAAGGAGAACTCTTTGTTCGGCTGTCGGGCAAGAGGGACCCGAGCCCTCTCCAGCCCATGGAGCGCGGGGCTTCGTTCCTCTAGGATTCCAGAGGCGCAGCTGGAGATGGAACTGCTGTCTCTTGTGGTATGACTGCCCATGCTTCGGGCAGAGGCTGGGCTGGGAGCTGCTGCTGCCCAGCCCTCATCCTCCAAAGTGCAGGGAGGCAGCAATGGGGAGTCCGGACCAGACTTCCCCTCCTGCTGTAGCAGAGGAACAGCAGCAGGAAGAGGGGGCTGGCTGCTGTGGCTGGGGCCCTCATCACTGTGACGACCATCCTCTTCCTCTGGGTCCCACTCATCCTTGTCCATGATGCTAAGGACATCCCCCAGCATGGAAGGCCCCAGGTCAATATGGAAGGACATAATAGATTCTGCATGCTTCAACCCATAGCCAGCCTTGGTTACGTGAGGCAGGTCTGTGATGTCCCCAAAGGCCCGCTCATCAAGAATGGGGTCAGGAGAGTGAGCACCCCCCGATCCATTCAGACGGGGTGTCTTCTCCCCAGCTCCTCCATCCTCCTCCACCTCTTCCTCCTCTGCCCCTCCAGCAGCTGCCTTCTTCACAGGACTGGATGAAAGGCTCTTGGGCAGCTTGCCAGACCCCTTCTCTGCTGCCTCTTTCTCATTGAGCTGTGGCAGGGACACCGCATTCTTCACAAAAAGAGCAGAATCCCGCAGAGAGCCCAGCATGTCCCGTCGGTCTCCTCTTGTCACTGACTGAGACCTTTTGCTGCCCCGAAACTTTCGAGACAGAAGACTAGGTTTAGATGAGGAGGTAGCACTCGCCTGCTCTTCGAGGGACTCAGGGTCTGGCTCCCCAGCCTTACTGTTGAGGAAGGAGGTGTCCCCAAAGGCATCCCCAGCACGCCCCACATGCATGGTGTGGCGGAAGTCGCCCAAGGGAGCGCTGATCATCTCTGCTGTGAGGTCTGCTCGTGAACGGCGCTTCGAGTGGGCCGAGCTGGACACTAGCTGCTTGAGAATCGGCATCTTCCTGGGTCAGGAAGGCAGGCCCTCCCAAGGTCAAATGCAGGATGGAGGGGCAGATCTCTGAGTCTGGATCACGAGGATGGGATGATGAAGAGAATACAGCAGCAGGGTCTGGAGAACAGAACACAAAGAGTTAATGCAGTTTGGAAAAGCAGTGTACTGATATAAATAAATCTGCTACTGAGTTGCTGGGTTTTTTTTCTCTTTTAAGACTCAGCTCCCTTTCCTCAACCTGGTTGCAAAAAGTAGAATAGATAAAGGAAGCCCAAAAGATGGACTTTTCAATCTACCCCACCCACTCCTCTGGTCACCCTGGGCCAATGGCTATTAGCAATTCTGGTTTAGAGAACAGAGCACTCCGAGGAACTGGCCAGCTCTTCTGAGAGGTTAATCTATATTTCTCCTACTTTTACATAATTACATAATATTAGAGTGGGAAGGTTTTTAGAAATCACCCAATCCCTTCCACTCCCTCATTTTTTGGTTTTTGGGTTTTTTCACAAGATAAGCAAACTGAGACCTAAGAAAGCTAAGATAACTTACCCGAGGTAACAACGCGGCCAGGCAAAACTAAAACTCCAACTCATGTCTTTCTGACTCCCCAGTCCAACGACCTTTCATTACCCAACACTGCTACCCACTCTACCACAAACTAAAATGTGAATCCTATCCTAGCTTAGCAGCAAACCCTCCCACTACCTCCCTACAAAGCTGGGTTTTGAGATGGGAGAAGGGAAGAACAGATCATAAGGTCCAAGGTCTAAGAAAGAGAATGACTCCTTAACTGTCCTTGGTGATAACTAGCCCTTCTGGAAAGTTCTTTATAATACCTAACCTGATTCCTGCATAAAGTCACTGAATGGTTCAGTTATGGGTCAGAGCCAAAAGGTATTCCCAGTAGGGGAAGCAGTAGGTATTCCCAGTAGCTCACTACATTTACACTTCTCAGGCGCCCAAGTCATGCCCTGGCTCATCGTAAGACATGGACCTTGAGATGGTGCTCAAAAATTATAACACGGAGGTGAAGGTGACATGACTGTTCAGCATTTCTGCAAAATGTTTCACATTTTGATGTGTTTTAAGAGAATAATAGGAGTTATTGGTTCCCATTTCTAGTTTTAAGCCTTTGAAATTGGGCAATTAGGAGTCTTTTGCATTTTGAGCATTTTTTTTAATGGAGGAAATAAACAGTTGTCCTCTACCTGATCTAAATTGTACAGCAAATGCTTTTCTCTTTTGAGGAGACTCCTAGACACGAGCCAAACCTAAGCTTTCTTTAAGCAATGTCCCTCTGGGGTTTGGAGACCCTGGAGGCAATGAGACCATGAGAATGATAATGAGACAATGAGAAATTCTGTTGAAAAACCATGTTCCAGGGACAGCTGACCAATGGAAAGCTAACTTCTGCAAAATTGTTGAGACAGTTTTTATACATACATACATACATACATACATACATACATACAAATAGCTCTAGTCAATTAATTACAATTACTTATTTCCATAGGAAATTTAGGTGGATTTTCTGATGCTTAACTACAAAAGTGACACACTTACCTCAGGAGCCTTCTTTGAACAGAAGATTCCATCCACCATTGATAAAGATTACCTGAACCAGATAATGGCTCTTATAATGACATTTCTAGTAAAGGAAACATTGGGTACTAAAACCCAATTCTTTTCCTTCTAATTGAAGGAGACCTCAGTTCAGACAGGAGAATACTGAACCCAGAGAGAACTTGTTTCTCACCTAGAGTTATAGATTGCTATGAAGATTCCTCAGGTTCAGAAAACCAACAGAACAGAGTGGAATATCAACAGTCAACCTGACCCTTTAACAATTTCAGGTTTAGGGAGGCAGGCCTATAGCTATGCTGATGATGACTGATCCATACCCTCAACCAGTTCAGGGAGGAAGGGTAGAGAATGCAGTAGGTCACAAAAGAGTTAGACTCAGGTGACCCCTGACCTAAAATTATGATGCTATAAGTGAACCAGAAGATGCAGTCATACATATAAGCCAGATAAAACACTAGAGATTGCCCATGTAAAGGTACCCTGCGTGTAACTGTACATGTTTGTTGATATACATATTAATTGCTACATGTTTAAATTATGCTTATTTTATGTCTTGTTTTTATGTAAATTTGCTTGTATGCTTATTATGTAGTGTGCTACATAGCAACACGTCTGTCAGCTATGACCTATTTTACTCATTTGTCTATTTGCATATTTGAAGGCAAGAAGCGCTTACTATGAGCTACCTACTCTGCTAAGTCCTGGGGATAGAAATAGGAGAAAAAAGAAACATAGTCCCTGTCCTCAGGCAGCTTACAATTGAATGGGGGAACACAACACATAAAAGAGCTGAATGAGGTGGGAGGACACCAGAGGGGACATGGTATCAAAGAATAGGAAGTTAGAATCAGAGCCAGGAGAATGAAGGCTGATATGCCTCTCCCTCACAAAATAAAGGCCACGGGAGAAACTCACCAATGGAAAAGAAGGTGGCCAGCATTGTGGAGGGATGTGAAATGTGGGAATCAAAGAAATAAGTGTAAAAACACTTTGCAAACCTTAAAGTGCTATGTAAATGTTAGCTTTTATTATTATACATTAATGGTTATGCCCATGTTTAGTAGTTGTATGTTGTGATATTATAGCTAGTTTGCTTTGTTTTGAGGCTGTTGATGATTTGCTTATGTACTATGGATACGTGTGTTATGTCCTGCACGTAATTTAGAAGCACCCTGTCTAGTGATGCTGTGTGTTAGCATTGTATTTTGTGTTGAGCCATATTGTTAATGTGTAATTGCTTTCAACAGTATTGTGGGATGATTATCCGGGATGCTGGGATAATCACCCTTGTTATTTTCAAGGGGTAATGTTTATTTTGATGCTTAGGCTACAAAATTACAGATTTCAAGTATACCCTGGCTGATTTTTTTTTTAACAAGGGACTGCAAAATTCTAGCATTGGGGATAGATATAATAATACCTGAGCTATGAACCTTGATAAGGAAACCAGAAACTTAAACAAACACTGTCCCAAGAACTCACTGGTTTGGTAAGGTGTCTTTGAATTAAGTTTTGAAGGTTTTGGGGAGGAAGAAGCCAGAAAAGAAGAATTAGGTCATCCTTGGGAAGAAGTGTCACTGGTAGGATCATGATATGTCTGCTTTCTAAAGGCTATATCCCCTCTCTAGCTCTTCCAGGACTCCAGGCATCATGGATGTACCATGACAGGATGATGTCATCCAGAACAGACAGAACCCTTGCCACTAGCCCTCCCTCCTTCCAGCCTAGTCAGAGAACAGTGTCAGAAGGTAAAGTCACTCTCTTTAAGGTCTGTCTCTTCTCCTCTTCCTATCAGTAGCTGCCCCCCACCTCCACCCGCATTGGCATTGCTCAGAGTCCCCATGCTGGAATTGAACAGCAGCCTAATTGCCAACCAGTACTCCCCCTCCCTCCCATTGTGGGTTTGTCCAAAACACACAGCAGGAGGACTTGGTAAATCAGGGTTAACAAAGGACATTAAGCAGTAGCTTAGCACCAGAATGGGCGAGAAGCTGTTCTGGCCATAATGAAATGAAAGCCAGGTCCCATGTTCCATCAAGTCAACAACTTTCCAATCTGCAATTCTCAGCAGCTCTGTCTTTACAGGACCCAGTTCTACAAGTTTGAATGTAGAAGGTTATCAACAGAATATTGGGAAGCAGCTATTTTTATATATAATTTTTAGTGTTTGCAATAACCCCAAGAAAACCACAGGGGATGTATTATCCCATTAAACAAACGAGAAAAAACCTAGGTTAGGAGAGGATGAATGACTTTTGTCCAAAGAGGCTGTGCTGGGACTCAAGAGCCCAGCTCACCATTCTGGCCACTACACTAATTACCTGGTCTGGCCCCTTCCCTGCTTCCACCTCCAAGGTTCCCTAGTTTCTCCCTTCCTGTTCACAAAAGCTAGTCACAACCCAGCTCTTATAATCTGTAAAACAGGGATTCTTAAGCATTTCTGAGTCATGGACCTCTTAGGCAGCCTTTTCAGGATGATGTTTTTTAAATACATAAAATAAAAGACATAAGATTACAAAGGAAACCAGTTATAATGAAATCTAGTTACCAAAATATTTAAAAAAAAATAATAAGTTCATAGATACCAGGTTAAGAACCTCCTTCTCTAGGCAACCCAAAAATACACACAATGACAATGATGTAAACAGAAAGAACCATCACCCAAAGAAATCAAAAGTGGATGTAGCAAAATAATAAGGAACTAACATGGCTCCGAAGAAGGAAAATGAGAAGACACTGCCACCCCACCCTTTTGCTGAGGCAAGAGTTTCACAAGGGTTGTACATTCAATGTATTTTCAGATTTTTTTGATGTGATGATTATGCTGATTTTTTTTTTGTCTTTAAAAAATGTGATGGGTCTCTGTGAGGGGAAGGGATACTGGTAAAAACTACAGTGTTATAAAAAGATATCAATAAAAAACTTTTATTAAAAACACATTAATTTTTTTAAACTCCTGCTCTAAATGATTTCACTCATTCCAGTATATAACTAGAGTCAATGATCAATCTGGCAGCTTCTTCTCTCCCAGCAGCTTGTCTGTACCTCCTCCCCTTATAGACTAAGGACTCAGATCTGAAACTGAGTGGGCAACAGGCCTGATTGGGGTAAACAGAAAAAGGGAAAGGTGGAGCAAACAAGCAGAGATGAGATTGGCAATCACTCAGTCAAACTGAGACCAGTTAAAGACCTTACTTAGCCTGTAAAGGCCAAGGTCCCCCACTACATCTTGGGCCGTCTCCAGTCATATCTGGCCATTGGACCCATATGGCTCTGGAGGAGAAAGTGAGGCTGGTGACTTTGTACAGCCCTCCCTCACTCTTTCTCAGAATAATGTTTGTTGCCCACATTCATAATTGAAGGAAATGCTAAATTTCAGTTAGAGGTTAATGAAAACAAAAAATGTAATTTTTTTTTTTTGCATCCAAGTTCACCAACTTCCTGAAATTCATCCATGGAACCCTTGAGTGGTCTGTGGACCCTAGGTTAAGAAGTCCTGCTGGTCTAGAATCCTTTATTTCATAGATGGGGAAACCAAGACTCAGGTAGAGGAAATGATTCAGATGAGTCAGCATGTGTAAAGCACTCTGCAAACCCATAGAGTTCTTTTAAATTTAACCAAATAAGAATGTATTAACCAACTACTATGGGCCATGCCCTGGGAAAAGAGAAACCAACCAGCCCCAGAGAGGCTAGAAAGTCCTGCCTACATTAGGAGAGCACGCACAAAAGAGTGACTTCCTGCCCTCGTAAGTCATCATGTCTATCCCCCTAAACTCCCAGATTTACAATGGACCCTTCTTCCTTATTTTTGCCCTCACCCTTCTTCCACCATACCCTCACTAGGGATGAGTTATTTTGATCTTTCAGATCAGCTCAAAGCCCCCAGTGAAGGAAAACCCATTGATTTCCCAAGGTAACCTTCCACAAGGCAATCCATTTCACTTTTGGTTTAGCTCTGTTAGGAAAACTTTTCCTTATACTGATCCTAATTCAACCTTTCTACCACTTCTGCCCATTTCTTCTAGGTCTGCCTTTTGGGACTAAGCATAACAAATCTCCAGCTTCTCTTGCAAATATTTTAAGACAGCTAGCATGTTCGCAATGTCAAACCTTCTTTTCTCCAGGCTAAACAACACATTTTTTTAAAAATCAGTTCTCAAAGGGCATAACCTCCATTCCCCTGGACTCTTTCTGAAGTCAAACATCTAAAGAAGTCAAAGTTCTGAAGATGGCAAACATCTAACTATGAGACCCTCTACTTCCTACACAGTACTCTCCCAAGAATTTCATGGGGTAGGCATGGGGGGGCAGAGAGTAAGAGGAACTTGGAGAAGATAGGGAGGTAGGGCATGCATTTTCCTGCCTGAGAACCTAGGGTTGTGGTCTCCTGGAGAAAAGGGAATGTTTTACTCAAAGCCATTCTCTACTCCAATCTATCTCCAATGGGGGGAAGAAAAGCACAAAAGCTTGGTGGCTTCCAGCTTAAGTAAAAGAACCTCTCAAATAAAATAATGAGATTGAGTTATTGGTTAAGCCTCCCCTTGAAGGTGCTAAGCAAGGCAAGAGCCTCCATCCCAAAGCAGGTAACTGTAATCATTTCCCTACTTCCCCCCCACCAAGTCTGGGCTGCCCTGGGATGGAGAGCTTGGTTCCAGCAGCAAGAATAAGATTCTTAAAGGGGGGAAAGATGAGATAGAGTAAGCCTACTTCAGGAGTAGGGGTTGCCACAGGAATGGGGGAAACAGATTCACCTACCACATTATTTTAAGCCATTCCATATCCTGGGAAGCTACCTCAAGAGCCAACATAGTAGCCTTTGCTTCTCGCAGAGAGAGATAGTGAGTTGGGGCAGGGCTGAAGAAGAGTCCTGGTGGAGCTGAAGTCCCTATCACAAGCCTGCTTTGGAACTTCTGGTCACTCCCTCCCTCAGGCTCGAGGCTGCCAGATTCTGTGGGCAAGGCAGAATGTAGAGGGGCCTACCCTGAAAAGGAGCCTACAAGAAGGGATCAGTGGCCTTCTGAGGCATCCTTGCTGTGACTCAGCTTTGGGGAAGAAGCTAAAATAGACTTAGGGAGGATCACTCCCTGGCTTTGGGCACCCACTGCCTGAACCTTTCTTCCAAGGCAGGGTAAAGGGAAAGGATGGTAGACATCTCAGAAGACCAGTATTTCCCTGAATGCCAAGTCAACTCCCATCTAATATCCCTCAAGATAAAAACACCAAGAGTTCCTGCAGGGACTCAGCCTCTGACAAAAGTCCACACTCACTATAACCCCTTCACATATGGTCTTATTTTCTGGAATCTTAGGGATAAATCTTGCCTTCCCCTGTCCTGCTGCATAGTCCATTATCCCTTATCTACCCCCCAAAAAAGGGGATGAAAATATTTGTACTAACCTATCTCACAGTGCTATCATGAAAGAAAAGATTTTGAAAATCTCTGAGCAGAGGCAAATTTGGCTTAATGTTGAGGGAAAAATTTCTTTTTAACAATGGGAGTTGTCCAAAGTGGGTGTCTTCAGGGTAGTGGTGGTGTGAAGTCTTCAAGCAAAGGCTGGATGATGACTTGTTGGATACGGGTCAAACCAGATGGTCTCTGAAGTCCTTAACTTAAATTTTCTGGCATTATTCATAACATTATCTTGTCCTGAAGCCCAGAGAAGGCAAACAATCTTCCCAGGTCACATAGTTTGGTAGAGCTGTGAGTTTTTGTTGTTATTCAGTCATTTCAGTCATGTCTGATTCTTCATGATCCCATTTCGGGTTTTCTTGGCAAAAGTACTGGAGCAGTTTGCCATTTCCTTCTCCAGATCATTTTACAGATGAGGAAACTGAGGCAAACAGGGTGAAGTGACTTGCCCAGGGTTACACAGCTAGTAAGTACTAGAGGCCAGATGTGAACTCAGGAAGATAGAGGCCAGGCCTTCTATCCACTGTGCCCAAGAGCTGCGAGAAGGATCTCCCAAATCCTATGGTATTTCCATGTTCCTGATTCAGAAACAAGGGCATCACTTCATTTCCCTGCCTGAGAACCTAGGGTTGTGGTCTCCTGGAGAAAAAGGAATGCTTTACTCAATCATTCACTACTCCAGTCTTGTCTCCAATAGGAAGGAAAGAAAGAAAAGCTTGGTAGCTTCCTGATCATATAAAAGAATCTCTAAAGTCAAATAGTGACACTGAGTTTTAGGTTAAATCTACCCTTGAGGGCACCAAGCAGGACAAGAATCTCCATCCTAGAGTATGCTAGTGGGGGTGGGGGGGGGAAGAGGAAGGCTGCTGGGGAGGTATCTTCTTCAGGGTTACAGGGCTGGTCCCAGTACTCAGAGTCATAGATCTAAGGAAAGGCATTCCTATTAACTATAGCATCTGGCACCAGTACAGGCAATCTTGATGCTAGAAAGGAGACACCAGCTCATCCCACAAATAGAGTGATTCTAGCAAAAGGGAGTTTTTTGGGATACTCATTAACAACAGCCAGGAGTTGGAACTAGTTGATCTTTGCATGGAAAGTAAAGGCATTAGGAAAGGACTCTTAACTTGAGAAGCAATTCAACAGAGCCCTGGAAAGTCGGCAGTCCTAGCTGGGCACTCACACATGTCAGTACTTCTTTCATGCCTAGAACATCCGAGAATCCCTTCTTTATCTTTTTTCTCCTCCTTACCCCAAAGCATGTAACAGATACATGCAGCCTCACTTTATTCATAGGATTTAGAGCAGGAAATGTCACCTAGTCTAACCCCTCGTTTTTTCAGACCACAAAACTGAGACCCAGAGAGGTAAGTGACTTTTACCCAAGGTCACAGGAGTTATAAATTTCAGACAGAGCTCAAACCAATGTCCCCTCACTACAAATACAGTGTTCTTTCCACTTTTCACAGAACCTTTCATCTCCTAGAGAAAACTGTTTTTTTAAAATAAAATGTTGGGGCAGCTAGGTGGCACAGTGGATAGAGCACCGGCCCTGAAGTCAGGAGAACTTCAAATCCAGCCTCAGACCAAACACTCAACACTAGCTGTGTGACCCTGGGCAAGTCACTTAACCCCAATTGCCGAAAGAAAAATAAAATGAAATAAAATAAAATGTCACTGGGGCAGCTAAGTGGTAAAGTGGATAGAGCACTGGCCCTGGAGTCAGGAGGACCTGATTTCAAATCCTGCCTCAAACTTACTGTGTGACCCTGGGCAAATTACTTAACCCCGATTGCCTCCAAAGGTAAAATAAAATAACATAAAATAACACTACAGGGTATACGGGTGGGAGGAGAGTCAGAAGAATTTTCACCTCACCTCTCTAAAATTATAGCCAGGATGATGGCAACTTACAGCATAATAGAAAGTGCCCAGGAGACCTGGGTTCTAGTCCTGGCTGTGCCCCTAACTAACAATGTAATCCAAGATGAGTCACTCAAAACCTCTCTGAACCTCAGTTTCCTCATCTGTATAATGGAGAGCTTGAATAATGTCGAACCTGGAGAACAGTTTATGAAATGACAACATTAATTCTAAGGAAAACAACTCTGAAAGACCTCAGAACTCTGACCACAGTAGGCACCAAACATAACTTCAGAAGACTGAGGATGAAACATACCTTTTACCCCCGGCAGAGAGAGAAGAGAGGCACAAGACTGAACATGCATCCTCAGACATTGTGACCAAAGTGTTGTTGTTGGTGGTGGTGATGGTGGTGTGTGTGTGTGTGTGTGTGTGTGTGTGTGTACGCGCTAACTATACACATTTTTTTATAAGAGAGCCCTTCTACAAGTGGGGTGGGATGATAGAAAGGTGGATTGTGGGTAATAAGAGACATGGGAACAAATTATGACATTTTATTCATTGAAATCAATTAACTATGGTCACTAAATAAACTTTGGTGGTTGTTTCAATGTTCAATATAACATTTAATTTTTAAAAATAAGACAAAGGTGGTTGGACTAGCTAGTGCTAAGATTTTATGATCTACAACTTTCCTGTTCAGAAAAGAAGGGAGCTTAGGTGTCTCCCACCAAAAAAAGGGCTAGGACCGACAGCTGCATCCTGATTCCACCTACCAGACTGAACAAGAGAAACTAAATACTCCAACCACCCCAGAGGAGATCTGCTTGTTTCCTGTGTCTTAAAAAGAATTTGAGAGTTGGAAGGGACCTTAGAAGCCCGAAAGTTCAACCTCCCACCTCTTGTAGGAATCCTATCTCCAACCTGCTGGATGCCTAGTCATCCGGTATTTTCTCTTTCTATAAAATCCAGGAGAATGTTAAGTTATTAATCCTAGTTATCAAAAAAACGAGTTTAAGCAGTAATGATTGTGCCAGAGAGACCGCCTACAATCCATAGCAGAATCACTTAGCCTCTCCCTTAGGATGCTGTTCTGGGATTCCATTGCTTACCCTAAGAAGGACCAGCTGAAGGACACTCTGCTCTCTTGGAGTTCCTGGGTGGGAGAAGCTGGTTGTTTCAGAGATAGAAACAGCAACAACAACTGGGACAAATGACTTCCTTTCTGGACCTCAGTTGTCTCACCTGTTAAATGGGGGGGTTGGACAAAACAATCTCCAATTGCTGTGCCGCATTTATTTAATGCTGTGTCCCTGACCCTTTCTCGGGCTGGTGAAAGCCTGTGGACTTCTCAGAAGGTTTTTAACTACATAAATAAGATATGTAGGATTACAAAGAAAACCAATTCTACTGAAATATAGTCATCATTTTTTTTTAAGTTCATGGAGCCCAGGTTAAGAAGTCTTGCTTTAAGATTTACAAAGGATTTTCCTCACAAGGACTCTGTGAGGTAGATATTTACAAAATGTTACTACTGACCAATTAAGAGATAAGAAAACAGGCTGATTGTGGGCAGCTGAGGGGTTAGAGTGCCAGGCCTGAAGTCAGGAAGACTCATCTTCCTGAGTTCAAATCTGGCCTCAGACACTTCCTTGCTGTGTGACCCTGGGCAAGTCACTTCACCCTGTTCACCTCAGTTTCCTCATCTGTAAAATGAGCTGGAGAAGGAAATGGCAAACCACTCCAGATACCTTTGCCAAGAAAACCCCAAATGGAGTCACAAAGAGTCAGACACAGCTGAAAGGACTGAACAGCAGTTAACTGACTTGCTTGTGGTTACAAAATAAGTGCCTGGGCTGGGATTCAAACCCAGGTCCCTCATATTGCCAGTCCAGGGATCTTTTCTACCATACTACCTGTCATTCCATTGATCCACCTGCAGCTCAAGGACAGGACCACAGAATAGGCTCACTTTCTAGTTCTTAAGGACGTCCCCCACCTGCCACTGACTGTCCTACTTCTTCCTTTATAGCAAAGCTTCCCAGACCAGATAATCCAACCTCCCTTACTAGCTGTGACACTCAGGGCCAGTTCACTTAACCTCTGTCAGCCTCAGTTTCCTCAACTGTAAAATGGTCATCATAATAACACCTACCTCCTAAGGCTGTTTTAAGGATCAAATGAGATAATATTTGGAAAGTGCTCAGACACAGTAGG